CCTCATCTGGCTGGGGAATGTCGCGCAGGAGGAGATCCGCAACACAGAGGGTTGCAGGCCCTCAAGGATCGACTCCGACGTTTCTACAGGACTTCGAAGGTGTCCAGTAGAATTCCTCTAGGGCGCTTTTCGTTGAAGTCTTTGAAAACCAAGCGTGCCAAAAAACTCAAAGCCAAAGCTGGCCAGGCACGGTGTCTGGTTGAGTTCACTGCGGCATTGGCCAGAGAATTTTCCACGCGGGACGGCTCTGTAGGTGAGCACAGATGCGAAGCAATGGCCACTTTGGCAGAGCTGTTTACCTTGGCGAAGCAGCCTGAACTTAGCTCCCGGGACATGTCCCGATGGAGGTTGTTGGCTGCTGTACACATGTATCATTATGCACACTGTGGGTTTCCAGTCTACCCAAAGTTTCACTACTTTTTGCACATGCCAGAGCACGTGGAGCGTGGAGGCATTCCGCCGGTTTTTTGGGTATACAGCGACGAGTCCAAGAACCGAGAGGCCAAGCAAATTTGGCAAGCCTGCTCGAAAGGCTGGTCGGTGTACCCCCAAATCTTGCTGCGGTTGCAGTGGTTCGGGGCGTTACAGGCCCTAGAATCGTAAACCGCGCCTAAGAAGGTGATGGCCCTGCTTGGAAAACAAGAGTGTGCCGTGCTTGTGTTTGTCCAGTCTACTTGCAACTTCTTTCACCGACCTGCTAGCCGTGTGACTCTGGTAGTCCATCGTTGCATGTGTATGGACGGCACAGAACCTGTCACCAACCCAGACCGCACCCACCCATTACAATACAACCTTCATGTTTGGACAACATGCTGCAAATATAACCTTGCACATGGCAGGGCTGAATTTCGCTAAACTCACAGTCACATCGCCACTTTTGGCCCGGGCACCAACTACAATGGCAGGATTTCGTGGCACTTGTTGCTGGGCCCCGGGTGCGCTGAAGAAACTCGTTCGGGATTGTGTAATTATTTTTCCACTTCTTCCCCAGTCAACGATGTCAGTGGCAAAACACAGCAGAATGAGCCCTCGGTATATAAGGCAGAACTTCGTGGCATGTGTTCTGGCCCCAGGCCTGAAATTTTCTTACCGACGTTTCTGGACCCGGCACGATGCAAAATTTTCTGACATGTTCTATTTGTGCGTACCTCAAAGTGAAGCTGGTTGCTGATGTCGCCTCATGGTTGATCTGGACCTCGCATGTGTTTTGCTTTGAGTACACTTGAACGGCCTGGTAGAACCGATCATTTTCTCCACACCGCAACCATTCGAGACATATTTTTGACATGTTTAATCGTGTCTAAACATGTTTATTTTCATTTCAAAGTTGATGACCATAAGATTGCAGTGCTGAAATGCATGTGTATTCATGTGTAAAACATGTATATTTCTGCTCGTGTTTAAAATTCGTGTTTAAAATAGGTGAACGTGTCTAAAAACCCTAAAATTCATGTTTAAAAACCGAAGGATATGTGTAAAATCCAGTTCGTGTTTAAAATTCAGCGTGTCTATCTTCAAAAATACTGTAAAATACAGCACGCGCGGCTCAACTTTTTAGACGCGAGAATTTTTTAGACGCTGTGGTTATTTCCACAGTGCCGCACTCAAAATTTTAGACGTGCCCTCTGATCTCTAGGGTTCTTGCGCCTCGGGTGGGAATGCAGCCCCAGAAAATTCCTGAATGAACAAGCTGCACTTTCTCTTTCGCCGAAGTCAACCCTGCGCATGTTCTGCCAGGGCACTTGAAGTCCTGGATGCAGAAGTCCACCACGCGATTGTCGAAGTCCTCACCGCCCAAATGGGTATCGCCCGCAGTGGCCTTTGCAGCTCGAACCCAGAGCAAGTTCAAGTGTGACGTCCAAGGCCAACTAGCAAAACCAGATTCAGCCCATCATTTTAAAACCCTGCGGCGCCCTGGGCTTCAGGGTATCTACATGAAGGCTGTTGGACTGGCTCTAAGCCGGCCAGCACTGAACATCAGATGAGTGGGCACCTTCACCTCGAAGATGCCATCCTCGATGGTCAAGAGCGAGACATCTAAGGTACCGCCACCCATGTCCTGGAGCGTATATGTATATATATATATATATATAGATAGATTGCGGGTGCGCCAACCATGTCCTGGAGCGTTATATATATATATATATATTGATTGATTGATTGCGGGTGCGCCAACCTAGCAGGTGGATTAAACGTCCTGGAGCGCACACACACACACACACACACACACACTTCCTAGATTGGAGGTGAGATCATGAACATCACAGCAAACCAAGGTTTTCCCTGTGTGGCGACTTGACTGTAAGGTGCAAGCCAAAGCTCATAGATGAGGACATTCCTTTCGCCGGAGCCCTTCTTGTCCAGGCCATAGGCAATGGCTGCTGCAGTTGGCCTCATGACCATGAGAAATCGACATGGGCGGCATGCGGGCTCTGTCCGCTGAAAAGAAGTGAAATCCTAAATTCTGATGAAAACCAGTCCTTAAAGACGGGCCCACGAGTTGAGAAGGTGCTACTTAAGCGGAGCCGCTCGTTGATGATACGCAGCACGTTCATTCCTGAGATGGTGCCCGCATCCTTGGTGGCCTGACGCTGCGAGTCGTTGAAGTACGCCGGCACTGTAACCACGGCATCGTTGAGCTTCGTGCCGAGGTAAGCTTCTGCTGTCTCCTTCATCTTCAGGAGCACCATGGAGGAAATTTCTTCTGGATGAAATTTCTTTTCCTGCGCTGCTGTACCTTGGACGTGCATGTGTACTTTTGAGAAAAAGCTACATTGAAGGCTGCTATGCCATGCTGCGGTTTCATGAACCCCTCACCTGAAAGGCACAGAGTCCTTCATCAACAAGAGGTTGCAACAAGATCTTGTGAACCCGACTCCTCCTAATCATAGCAGCGTTGCATGACAGCGGAAAGGCCCTTTGGAGGGAAGGCGACTACTCAAAATGCCTTACAGATGCCGAAGCTGCTCATCTCCATCCCAAATACCTGGGTAGGATTTGGGGATTTTGGGTGTAGGCGTTTCAGGTTTGAGATTTGAGGGTTCATGTGTCTTAAAACTGTAGCTCGTTTGGGTCCAACGTAGGGTTCAGCTTCGGGATTTTCTGCTTGAGGTTTTCAGGCCGTGGAGCCTTCGCATCCATCGCCCGGTAGACGATCTGCAATGTCCTAGCCAAGATACCACGCCATTGCGCCAGAACACCCAAAAGCGTACTCTGAAGCTTGGGCTTTAGGTGTTGTTTTTTTTGTTCAGGGTTTCGGGGTTATATAAGGACTTGGGATCCGATTGTTCGGCTTCAAACTCGGGCTGTTCATATAGACACTCTTCCGAGGTTGCAGAACCAAGGCTTTAACATTCGGTTCTTGCATTACCTAAACATGGCGAAGCGCTAAGCCGCGAACTCCCAGAAAGCTTTCAGCACCCAAGGCTTGGTAGCTGCCTGAACGTCTGCAAGTGTCCACATCACCCAAACTATTCAAAGCAGAATTTGACACTATCGTACGGCAAAGGATCCACTCCACAGGGTGTAGGGCTTACAAGTCTGACACTGACTATTGTTGTCATGCACCGCTGGCGCAATTACCAGGGACGCCATTTCGTGTATGCACTCAGGCCCGTAAGGCTTTCAGGACTCTCTGTCTGGCCACCGTTGATGCCGCTTGGGACTTGCCAGCCTTTTTGAAGCCAGAACCCTAAGGCCCAAAAACCCTAATAGCCCAGCTGTCTCTTTGAAACAGAATAGAAACGAAGAAAGCGGAAGCTCCTCCACCCTGGCCGCCGGTGAGGGTCCCGGCGAGGCGCGGATGTCATCGAGAGGGGGACAAGGGGCAAACGGCAAACCCAAAGCCTCTAAGCCCTAGACTCGGTTTGGGGTTTCGAGTTCGGGGCTTAGGGTCTGGGGCTCGTAGAGTTGATGGTTTGGGGGCTCCGGCTGCGGTCACGGCCGCCTCTTTCGTCTTAGAGAGGTTTCTGCTACTGGTCTGGGGTGCTCCACTGCTCCGGAGCTGTTTTGAAGAAGCTTGGGTTCGCGGGCGTTCTTGCTGCTGTGTGGTTTTCCTTCATGGGCCGTAGACAATGGGATCTGCTTCCCTGTGATGTGTACTCCACTAAGCAACCTATCAGACTTCAAATTCTTAGTTAGGCAGCTCTCTCTCTCTACATAGAAAGTATACATATAGACGCACGTGCTGACATACGGTGAATCTGTCTTAGAGTGGTGTTCGGCGGGTTTGGCGCTGTCCCTCGAGCCTCGCGGCTACCAAACGTCAAGTGTCGATGGCGGGGTTGTAGGGTTTATTTCTTTGGAGAACGGTGTAGGCTTTGGGGCTCGAAGGCAGGGGTTTAGGGTCCGGGGTTTGGGTGCTCGGATTTGCGTTTCTGGTTCCAGGCGGCCCAGAGACGGACCCCAAAGGGAGCATCCTTGCTCTAAGGGCCCTTGAGTAATGATGCCCACAAAGCCGGGGATTTACGAACTCGGATTCGTTCAAGGACAGGATGCTAGACCTTTCCAGCTGAAGGTTGATGGAAGTGCACTTCGGTTGCGGTTAGGGGTGCACAGTCTAGCTTCACGGCCTCGGGTCTAGGATTGGGGCTAAGGAACCAAAGGCCGGGTACCCTAAACTCTGAAGAAACAGCAGCCACCCACTAACCGCCGTTTTGTGAATCAAGCTCTTTCGAAAATCGAGGTTCAGCTGAGAAGAACAACAAACCAAGCCTGGACGTGGGCATTGGTACCAAAACCGAGGACAAGTAGCCCAAACAAACTAGATGTACGACAAAAAGGAAGGTCACGCGGTTGCTGGCATCATCACTGTGGTGGATATCATGTGTACTAAATGACAACGGGAAGGACCTGCCATAAGCTATAGCGCACAGTCGAAGGCCTACGAGAACCCAGCGTCTGAGGACATATCTCTCAGCACCATGGCTGCGTTTCAGGACCATGCACTTGTGGGCTAACGCTGCTGCCCTCTGAAATGATGGAAAAGCAAGCTACCTGTTTCCGTATATCTAACCAGAGAAAGAGCAACCATAAAAAAACCCGAGACAGGCGTGTTCAGTAGGACTTTTCGCTGAGGAAAAACGATCCGCACAGGGGGCTGCTCAAAAGCTTTCAGCCGTCCGGCCCTCGGTCAAGGACGCTCGCTCGTTTGTCCCAGTGTAGCGTTCAGTGCGGGTTCTAGCTAAGCTCCTCCGAAACTCGTTTGAGTAGCAATGCCTCTAAGTTAAGCATACAGGGATCCATTCTGTCATTTAGGATTTCCGAGATATGGCGGCGCCATCCTCAAGGGAGCCTAATTTAAAGAACCCCCCTGCCTTGTCAGCAAACGCTATAGGGTTGCAAGCACTAAACCCAGGGTAGTTCAAGGAGGCTCTATCACAGAACTACCTCGCTCAAACGCGAAACCCGAACTCCCAAGCTGAATAGGAACCCCCAAACATGCAGAACAACCCGCATGTGAGTGCCGGACGGGGAGCTGAGGGGACGACGCTGGGTTCCGAAAAGGTTTACGGGTTCTCAAGGTCGAGGCTGACGATGATCGGTAGCGGGAAGAAGGCCCTGGTACTCTGCTATTGACACCAGGGTTGCTGTGTGATTACCCTCAACTGCTACTGCTAGTATCCCGTTCTTTTGGATCGCTAGTGTCGGAACGCACTTCTCGAACTTGTTGTTGAACTGCCTGGCACTAGCATTAAAGCTGCTGTTGGATGCTGCCTGCCCAAGCCAGACCCCGAAGCCAAAGCAAGCCCAACAACGCTGATCACGGTACCTCAAATCTCGGCTGCCAGGCCCCTATTTCTGCATCACTCTTTCAAGCCTGCGGTCTCTCTTAACACCTCGTTTCATCTTGGTCCTTACTTTTTGTTGACATATCTAACAAACAACTGCCCTAACCCCTAAACCATAACTGCCATGACCCAAAACTCCAAACAGCACAAAGGACCCGGCCATCGAAACGGCCGGCTGCTGCAAAAGCTCAGCTGGGTCTTCCTGGTGCAGACTCCAGCTCAGTCTTCGGGATTTCGTCTACAGGTACGCTTTGACGAACGGTTGCCGGATGCCCCTGCAGTGGATTACAGGTTTTCTCCGGTGGAACCGACTGAGGGTGACTCTTTGGGATCATGCAATCCACAAACCGGGAGGACCACACAAAATACCAACAAACAGTTCGGAGTCCCAACCAGAATCCAGAACCCACAGTCCTGAATATCTGAAGCTCCTCCCAACCCGAAGACTTTAGAGCCAGATCAAAAACCCCTAAAATCCTAACGGTTCGGGCTCTCGGCTTAACCCGAGAAAGGCCCTGTATGCCCAGATGAATAACGCTTTCAGGCCACCTGAAATATCCCGAGTCCCGTTCGCAATTGTGCTTCCGGCACCTCCGGACGAGACACCCCTAAACCCTAAACCCTAAACCCTTAACCGGCACCTCCGGACGGGACACCGATGAAGGAGCTCATGACGCATCCTGACCTGAGAAGCTTCTTGAACTGAGCTGGGTTTAGGGTTTAGGGTTTAGGAAGGAATTGGGCCGAACACGACGGGGCGTTTTGGTGGCGTCTTGGGATTCGCGCTTGGGCCCTGCGCAGGGTCTTGCGGTTTCGGGCTTTAAGAGTTTCGGGGATTTGGGAACCTGAGACCATTCACCGACTAGGAGTTGGACAACAAAATCGTTCAGCCCGGTTTCGTTAAGAATCACAACCAGTTTCTGCATGGCTGTTGTTCTGGGGCTCTCAGGTTTAGAGCTAGACTGGGAGGAAAAGCCTAGTCGGCTTAGGACGCTCCTGATTTAGGGCTTGGAGTTGGCAGTTCAACACATTGATAAGCCCCCTTTATGAACCATCTTTAAGCGTTAAGCTCGAAATACCCCTGAACCCAAAACCCTGGGCTCAAAAAAACCAAGACCTAAAAAGGCGCCCTCAACCCGAAAACCCGAGACCCAACACGCCCAATCACCCCAACTGAGCGAACGCGTGAGCTGCAAAACCCTAAACCTAGCATCTTAAACTCTATATGAGTATCCACTTCCGCCGCCCTTGACGGGGACCCTATTTTAGAACCCTACAGAACGCTTATGAGGAACCCTATAGTACCGTTAAAGCCCTGAAGCGGGAACAATTAAAGAAAACCGCGCGTCTTCGCGAACCCGAAGTCAACCTAAAGCCCTTAGGGTTTAGGGTTTAGGGGTTTAGGGGTTTAGGGGTTTAGGGGTTTAGGGTTTAGGGTTTTTTGACTTGGGCTCACGCCTCAGGTTTAAGCTTGAGGGCTGTCGCTGGGGTGTCTTGGGTGTGCGACAGTGCATACTGGCTCGCATGCCTCAAGACACGGAACCCATGGCTGGTGCCTGGGTTCGTTACACAGCTGAAGCCATAAGGCAGATGATGCATGGCTTGGGTGGGGGCGGTTTGAGCCGTATTTTGCGCGAATGGTAACTGCACATGACGAATCGAACAAGTTACGCAAACCTCAGGACATGAAAGTACCTGCGGTGGTGCTTCCTTGTCATGCATGTCTGCAATCCTGCATGAACTGTGCCCGAAATCTGGCATATGTCCAAGCATCCGGTGGCATCAAAGTGGCGTTCCTGGCAGGGCGGAAGGATGTGGCGGTTACGGGTTACGGTGCCACGGTTTAGGGTTTCCGGGGCTGTGGTTCGTTAGTGATGTTAGTGGATGTAGCAGCCCATGCCGCGTCCTGGAAGTGCATGAGATACACCTTGCCTTGTGGTGGGCCACGCAGAGGAGCAACG